TAAGCAATTATTTTAAAGTAAAGAATTTATATAATAATTATATTATAATTTAAATATTAAATTCAAATTAATTTGTTATTAGAATTACATAATTTTGAAGTTTGTACTTAATTAAAAAATATAATTAAAGAAATATACGACTTGGCTTCAGCTGTTTATTTACTGCATTTATTGTTAATATAAATATTATTGTTAATATTAATATTATTTTTAATATTGATACGATATGCAAGCACCTCAATTTTACTTATTATTCGTAAATATTTAAACATTTATAGCTTTATCTACAATAGTGCTACCCTACCACAATATCTTAGTTGCTAGCACAACATTTTGGAGTTGGCATCATTGTTTGAGATAATGTCAAAATTCAATTGAATGTCAGTTTTTCAACGTTTGCCAAATTTTGTTTTATACTTTAACGAAAGGTCGCTAAAAATGAGAATTGTTATGCCGGAATTTATAATAAATTTGTATAGAAGAGTGTTCCAAACGTGATAGATATGTAATCTCTGTAATATAAAACTAAAAATATATAAAAAGATTATTGTAAAACGAAACAATTTAGAAAATATAATGGAGACAACAAAATCGCCAGTTCAGCAATCACCAAAAAGCCATCTAACACCAAAGAAATCGTTTATGTTCGATCGTGAAAAATTATTAGATAAAATAAATATATTAACGACAAAACCAGAGAATCAATCAAACAATACAAAGGTAAATTGTGTACTGCACCAAAATTTGTTTTTTTTCGCCAAAGTTTTAATGTGAAAGTTAATGTGTTATGGCTATATTAAGTTGAATTAATTAAATAAATAATAATTTAAAAAATAGTAATATTTGTATATATATTAATTTAAAGTAATATTTTATTGAAACTATTAAATAATAATTATGGTTTTTTTTAAAAATTATTGGTAATGTGACAGCATGCGCGGGATTACTCGTTTAATCCTGTTAGAAAAATGTTGGTGATGCTGCTTTGTTAAGTTGTTGTTGTTGTGCTTGTACGGTACCAAACAATGTTTTTGTTACTCTTTTGTTTCATTATGTTTTTGAGAAATAAAGCAAATAGTATTTAATATTTACATATGAAAAATATTTATATTATTAGATAATAAAATGAAAAATATTAATAATCACTTTTTATTAATTTTATAGCTACCGACTATAAAGGATTTTGTTATTATCAAGCCAATAAGTCGTGGCGCGTTTGGCAAAGTGTTTCTTGGTTACAAAAATAATGATCCAAATAAGTTGTTTGCTATCAAAGTAATGCGTAAATCTGAGATGATAAATAAAAATATGGTTTCCCAGGTGATAACCGAACGGAATGCATTGGCTTTGTCACGCAGTACATTTTGCGTCAATCTCTTTTATTCGCTGCAATCAATATCTAATGTATATTTGGTAATGGAATACATGGTAGGCGGTGACTTAAAGTCGTTGTTAGCCATGTGTGGTTATCTTGACGAATCAGCGGTACGTTTTTATGTAGCTGAAGTGGCATTGGCATTGCAATATCTACACGGACATGGAATTGTACATCGTGATATAAAACCAGATAATATGTTGTTATCGGCTACAGGACACGTAAAACTAACAGATTTCGGCTTGAGTAAAATTGAAATGAGAAGAGGTTTGTTAGTTCACAACTTTTTCATTATGAATTATACATTATTATAGTTTGTATAATTCTTTCACTTGCAGATTTAGAGATATCAGATTTAATAAATTGTTCACCAAATTTAAATTTAAATGCACGCACACCTGGTCAATTGCTGTCACTTACTTCACACCTGTCGTTTGGTTCAGAAAAGAAATTAGAATCTGGCATATCTCATTTGCCAAATATGATCAATAAACAAAGTAAGCTTAAAAATCATATAAATATTAATACCATTAATAATTATTATTATTTATAGTTATCAGAATTGAGTCTTCAGATAGTGAAGCTGACACTTCTATTAATGAAGTAGAAAAAACTAACGAAAGTAAAATATCTGGAGTTTCTCCATTCTTTTCAGCAGAAGAATTAAATTATTCTGCTACACAGACCTGTGCTACTAATGTAAATATTCTAAATAATTTCAATGCAATATTAATTTTTAATTTGAAAAATTTAACAGCAACTTTTAGATAGTTCCTCTTCATACCATACATGTCAATCAAGTGAAATTGGTAAATGTTCTCCCAACTGTAATATCGTAATTACATCTGCTTCTATCATGGAAGAACATGTGGGATTAAACAAAAATGATAATGCCACTCAAAGGAAATTGCATTGTATTGTAAGTATTAAATTTTCTTTAAATAAAATTCAGTTATTAAAATATTTAGTAAAATCTAATAACTTAAAGGGTTGTAATTGCGAAAACAAACAAATTGAAAAAGAAAATCATAAACATTTAGCGAAGTTGGAAAGCGCTGATGAGACATCTTTTGAGTTTTCCATGCTACGAAGACGCTCTACTGAGGAGGTTTGTTTAATGTTTTATGAGATATTTGTTGTGTTAAACGTGTATTATATCTATAAATTCGTCCATTAAGTTTTCATAATTTTGCATACAATAATGTGTTATAATAATAAATAAAACAAATATTAAATAAAATCTACTTAATATAGCGTATGCGTTTATCAAAAGGACAAGAAGACTCAGGTGTCTCATGCCGTAAATCGGATTGTTCAAATTCCCATGGCAATAGTGAAACTTCCTCAATTGACAAAACTGAAAACTTGTGCAATTCTAAAGATGACAGTTGTTCTGACTATTCAAGAAGGTAAATCATAATTCCAAAGATTTTATTATAATATAGTTTTGTAATAGATTATATGGGTTGTATGAATTAATCACAACATGATTACGATAATATAGTATATGGCAATATAAATATATATATATTTATATATATTTATATATATTGACACTGTTGCAATCTGTATCATCATATAATATTAACAAACCCTTCAAATGTTTGGAACAAAATAAAATATAGAAAATAAATGGTTATTATTATAATTGATTAGAATTGGTGTCCGTCAATATCTCTACTCTATTTTGCGGGTAGATCTCTCTGAATCCACACATAAATAAAGATGATTTTTCCCTTTATATTGATAAAGCGTTTATTTCGTTTTTTAGCGTGCGCGGTTTTGCATATCATTTTACGGTTGTTGGGTTTAGATGAACCTTTAGTTGGGTTGGTATTGACATGGTTTATTTTATCGAGGAGTGAAAAAGAGCAAAAAAAAGTATCTGGATCGGGCGTTTCTGTAGATCAGAGCAATTTTAACTCTTTTTTTTTTTATTAATGACAAGTTTACATCGGCATCGTTATGCTCGTTCACTCAAACTGGATTTCCCAGGCTGGAAATCCTGGAGAAATAGTTTTCTCCTTGTACTTTTTTATCAAATTTAAAGTCTTATACAAGTTCTCTGAAAAAGGAATCTTTCATTTTCAAAGGTCATATTGACATTTTTAGTAATACGATTAGATATACGAACCTTCCGCATTTATTTTAGTTTAGCTTAAGTTAGTTATGACGGACGAGTTTTGTTCTGAATTTTCTTATTTGGATTCATAGTCATTATTTACTAACTAGGCTCACTATGAATTGAAAGAAATACTACGTATATTACTGTACCTCGGAAATAGAAATCGAGCTTTTTTAAAGCCATCTTGGGGTTTCCGTTGTCTAAAAATAGTAAAACAGTAAATAGTAAAAGTGTGATTATCCCTTTTCGTCACCGGGTGTTAAGTAATTTTAAAATGTAAACGTTTCTGCTCTATATTCTCTATACATAAGTTTCTGAAGCCATTCGTTCCTATCATATTATCCACAAACACTACTAGACAATGCTAGATATTGTATTTTAAGAATATTTCAATTTTTTGATTTATTTGTGTAGTGATTTATAACAATTTATCTTTACTATAGTTACAATAACAACAATACAAATGAAATAAGTGCCATACGTATGCAATCACCATTCCGTAATTTATCTAAAAACTTTAAACGTCCCGATTATATAAGGTTCGTGTATATAAGTAAATTTTAAAATTGTTTAAATTAGTAAATAATATAATTTTTTAGGGGATTGAAACGTAAAATAAATTTAATGAACCGTTCAGAAAATTTGTCTATTGATGCTGATGGTTCAGGGTCAGGTAATGCTAGCACTGGTTTAACACAGGAAATTGATATTTTGGATATTGGTAGTAGTACACCTAAGAAACGTAAAGCTAAATCACCAATTCGTGGTGTATTAAAAGTGCGTTCGCTATCTGATGAAGAAATGCCTGTTGTATTAACAGAAAATGTGACCAATGTTGTTTTTTCAACCCCGGTCTCATCACAAAAGGTATCGCGTCGTGATGGTGGACTATTAGGAAAACTAAAAGCAACACGTTTTGCTCTGCCACTTTCGACAGACACTAAAAAGCCTGAACAAATAATTGAAAAAATGACTGGAGTGCAATATTTAAAAATGGCAGATGATCCAACAATGTCACCAATAAATTTAGGCAGCAATGCACCAAAAACACCTAAGAATATAAATACACCATTTCGAACACCAAAATCCGTACGTCGTGGTCGTAATTCAAGTGAACGCATTTTAGGTACACCCGACTACTTAGCACCGGAATTATTGTTAAGGTATTTGATGTAAATCGAATTAATATAACAAAAAAAATATAATTTATATCATTGCATAGACAAGGACATGGTCCAGCCGTAGATTGGTGGGCATTAGGTGTATGTTTTTATGAGTTCCTAACTGGTATACCGCCATTTAATGATGAAACACCACAAAAAGTTTTTGACAATATACTTAGTAAAAGTAAGGGATCTTGCATATTTGAATTTATTTATAGTTTCAAATTAAATATATTTTATTATGACAGATATTGAATGGCCGCAAGGTGATGAGGCACTTTCACCTGCCGCAATAGAAGCTGTTGATCTGTTATTAACGATGGATCCAACTTCACGTCCAGCTGCAAAAGAAGTTCAACATATGCGGTTTTTTAAAAGCATTAATTGGGATAATATCGAAAATGAAAATCCACCATTTGTGCCAACACCAGATAATCCAACAGATACAATGTATTTTGAAGCACGAAATAATTTGCAACACATCAAACTGTCAAATTTTGCAGCAGAAGACTAAAAACCATGACTTTGGAAATTTTTGATTGTGATAAGTGAACTAATTATTTCGTGTTATGTACCATTTGTTTTATGTCACTTATGTTATAACAATATTGGACTGTATTTTTATTTAGTTGTTATTATATATGTATATTGTAATACAATATGATTTTCGTCTAATAGTACGTTCTTGATTATTTTTTTATGTTTTAAATTATAATAATTTAGATTTTATAGGTTTTATTTATTAAAAATTTAGTTCATACTTTATGCGTAAATAACGACGTTCTGAACAGTTATGTCAATATTTTTAATGCTTATGTTTTTAAACATTGTATTATATATGATTATTTATGATTACTTACTTCAAAATTCCTTATGCTATAAACCTAGAAATAAAGTTTTTTAAAAAACTCAAGTCCATTGTCTATTGCAAATTTAAACCAATAAAAAATGTTTAAAATACTATATAATACTATCTTTAAAATATTAGTTATGTTTTAAAATGTAATACTTCTTATTTCAAAGGTTTTGTTATGAATTTGTTAATGAACTTTCACTCCAAGTCAGAACATGCAAGTCAAGTACGGATTTGAGTCAGTTGGCAAATGAACACTGACTCTGAGCTTCAAATTTGGCAGGGTACGAGTTCAAGCCTTGGTACATGCTAAAATAATTCCAAGGCCACTAATGATGGGTATACGGCAATACTCAAAACGGTTGTATGGTCAGCTTAAAATTCAGTTAATTTAAATAATATAAAAATAATTTTTGTTGTTGTAGTTCACTAGTTTTCAAAATCACTCTACAAAATACACTTAGATATAAAATATATTTAAATATAAAATATGTTTAAATATAAAATATATTTAATTTATTTATTTATTCAATATAAAATTTATTATTTTAAATTTTACACAATAATTTTATTTTTATAAATATATTCAAATATAAAATATAAAAATATATTTTTATATAAAATATAAATATAAAATATTTATATCAATATAAAATATATTTTAATTTTTTGTTTTAATGGTCAATTTTTTTATATGTTTTTGAACGGGCTAATTGGGCAATTGTTTTAAGAATACACAATTTTCTAAATTATTTTTAAAAAAAATATTTTCTTGTCACTAATAAATATTTTAACTATAGTCTATAGTCATCTTTAAGGTACTGAAGATGACTCCAAGTAATTGAAAGAAACTTAAAAAGTTTTATGCTATTTAAACAATTGACCAATTAGTCCGTTCAAAAATATATAAAATGTATTTTTGTTTTGAAAACATATTTATTTGAATATTTTTTTTACTTAAGTTATATTTTTCTTTTAAAATATATACTTTTTTCAGAATATCTATTATTTTTTCTTTTTCAAAAAATATTTTTTTTAAATGTATTTTAATTTTTTTTTAAATATATTTTTTTTTCAATATATGAAATTAATGTTTTCGAAATATATTTTCTTCAAATACAGGTTTTTTAAAACTTTTTTTTATTAAATATATTTCTTTTAAATATATTTTTTTAAATTAAGTTTTTTTAAATATGTTATTTTAAAATATAGTTTTCTTAAATGCATTTATTTAAAATATATATTTTTGTATATATTTTTTCAAATTATATTTTTTAAACATGTATTTTTGTTAAATATATTGTTAAATATATTTCTTTAAAATGTATTTTGTTAAATATACTTCTTTAAATATTTTTTATTAAATATTTTTCTTTTAAATATATTCAATTAAATACATTTCTTTTAAATATATATTTTTTTAATACATATCATTTAAATATATTTTTTTAATTATATTTTTTTAAAATACATTTCATTTAAATATATTTTTTAAAAAATATTTATTATTATATATATTTTCTTTATATAGAGTTTTTTATTATATATATCTTTTATTAAAAATATTTTATGTTTTTTCTATGTTATTTGTATAATGTCATTTTTAGATGAAATTAATATATTAATATTGCAAAAATATGAATTAAGAGTTTTAATTAAAACAGTATATATATAGTTTAGTTCTTATTTTTATTTATTTTTATTAATAATTACAATAATTACAGAGCTTAGCTATATATATATATATATTAATTTATTTGTAGCAGGTCATACGAATATAAAACAGTAGCAGTAATACTAATATTTTTTATTTAAAACTAATGACTTAATGTTAAATATATATTAATAATATTAATGTAATACAAGAAATTGCAGATGCTTATTTTAAGAATGTTAACTAAATTAATAATATTAAGTATAATACATTGTACGAATATTACGATTAAGTAAATTTTAAAATCAGCTGCGGTGCATTTTAAAAATGTAGCAAAAGTGCAGATATCGAAATTATAGTTTAGTTCGAGTTGATCATATAAAAATATTGCTCTAATATTTCATTATTTCATAATAAGTACAATAAAAGCAATTAATACATTTTTTTTTCATATTGTAAACGTTAGATTTAAAGCTTAAAAATATAATTTTTTATTTAAACATTTAGCATTTTAAACAATTCATTTGAGACGCACACACAACAGTTGAATCTTTTTTTTATATACAAAATTTATAACTTAACTAAAACGTAAATGTTAGCTTTACATGTTACTGGGTGGTCCACGGGGGCGTTGTCCTTGCACACCGGAATGTCTAGAACCGGGTCGTGAATGCACAATTGCATAATGATCATTATCAATGGGTACAGACCTTCAAGTACATTTTGTATACAAACAATGTTTTGTTTTAAAATAGCGTTTTAATTAAATTGTAAGTACGCAAATGGTTAATAGATACATTTTTAAACCATACGAGTTAAATGGAAATTATGGATTTTGAAGAGTAGAGTTAGTGTTTGTACGATTATATATTATGGTTAAATTTGTGCTGCGTTTTTTTTTACTTTTACGTTACTGTATTAATATAAGTAGTAAAGTAGTTTACAAACAATTATGAGAATGTAGGTATTTTAAAAATACTATATTAGTAACAATTTTTTTGATAGAATTATACTGAACTGAAGTTATAAAAAAAATGGTGTCGGTCTATATGTATATAATAATTATAATAATAATATTGTTGTTTTTGTTTACTATTGATAGTATAAATAAAATACAAATTACTTTACGAGTATGTAAAAATAGAGTAGAACACAGTATAAAGGCATGCTTTGTTGCTTTTGAAGTTTTAAATTTAAATCGAGTTTTTGAAATTTTACGAAATAATTGTATATGCAATTTGTTTATATAAATATATTACTTAAACTTAATATCTATCAGACCTATTTGAGTGTATTGTTGAACCGCCACTGGTGTAACCTTTATGCGCATCGCGACCATGTAGCGAATAACGTGAACCATATTGACTACCATGCCAACTTCTATATGGATCATATTCTTCGATTATTGAAGGCTCTTTCTCAATGATCTATAACACAATTGAAAAAAAATACAAATTTTAAATAAATAATATATATACAACATATATATAATAAACGATTTTGATAAAATAAAAATTTTTCTTTTTAATTGTATTCAAAACAAAAGACCAGATTGGCCTAAATAGACTTGTTTAAACAATGAATAAAACTGTACCTCTGTATTCGCACAACTGCAACTCATTGCTGTGCAAAGGAATATATTCATAAGTAACATAATTAGGAAAAGCACTCCTAATGTAATCGCCAACCAAAGTAACCAGGTTGGACGTACACCACCTTCCTCACAAGTACCAGAAATTACTGAAAGTAAAAATAAAATCAATAATGACAATGTATATAATTTTTGATAATTTATTTTAGTTTTTATTAATTTTAACTTACATGAGGCTTCAGCTGGTTCAAGTACATATACTGTTGTACCGGCTACACTTGTACCTTCTTCATTCGGACCTACTTTACGACCACCTCCTTTTGTGAAACCAGCACCTGCTATTGCAACTTCATTACAATCCTCTTCCAAACAGCGACCATAACATTGAATAACATCACATTGTATTTGCAACTCAGAACCTGTGAAAAGATTTTATTAATTTATTTTGAAAAATTAGAGAGAGAGGAAAAAATGAGAGCTAACATTTGACGAAATACTATTGTAAGCCAAGAAAATAAAAGAACTCCGATATATATACATATATAGTTTCATAAGTGTATCAAGATTGATTACTTTGACGATATAGAGTGGGGAGTAATGTTAGATTCAATATAGCCTATTATTCAGATAAAGGGAACTTCAGCAATTTCAATTTGGGAAGCTTCTAAGAATGACACAGAACTTGTATGTGAATTTGTTCATAAGAACAAATAGGCAACATCATGGGGAGTAGATCTGCAGTTACGACACACATTGGAGATAGGCGTATTTATGCATTACAAGTAAACCATTTAATACGTGCCTATATCTTAATATTAATTGGATATGAACACATATCGGTGTCATCATGAAGAGTAAAGTTTGTAGTTAAGGCACACATTGGAACAGGCGTATTTATGCATGGCAAGTAAATCTATATCCTATATCCTGATATTTGTTGGGTTGACAGTTTTTGCTATAGGCGGTAGCTGTTTTTTGTGCGGAGATATTTTAGTTTGAGACTTAAATAAGACCTTATTGTGATATAATTATAATCGCGAGAGTCCTATTTACAAATATTTATACATTGAATGTGTTATTTATAAATAATATCATATTTTATGTTTAGTCAGGCATGTAGTTAAGAGGACACTTGAGGGTATAAAAACAATGAGTCGAAGGACTATATGGACTATATATTACAAATATACATTATGGCATGACTAAATGGTATATTCAATAAAATCAAGTAAAACCCTGGCTATGGGTCTGAGTTCTATAGCAGTGAGTAGATTTAAATGTATTCCTTAATATTAAAGAATATTATTTTGAAGACTTCTCCTAAAGTAAAATCCTGGCTATGGGTCTGACTTTTATAGCAGTGAGTAGATTTAAATGTATTCCTTAATATTAATTATTTAACAAAAAAATATACATACCTTCCGGGAACTTGAACATTGACTTAATAGTTGCATCGGCAGAATGACCATCGGCACTCGCTACAAATTGTGTAATTATCGAAGGATTCTTTGGGCAACTGAAATTGAATCCAACATATTAAATATGAGAGTGTAATTTAGAGTATAATATAAATTATAAAATATATATCACATATATATAAAACCATTTTATAAATATGAAATAAAAATTGTTTGAAATATCAACTTACCCTCTGTCATCTAACAAAGTTATATTGAAATTCTTCTTATCAAAAGCCAAACAATTTCCAACGCGTATGCCATGAGTGCCTTAAAATAGAAAAATTCGAAAATTTTTTAAATATAATTTAATTATAATATAATAATAATTCGTATTTTTCTTATCTTAATATTTTATTAAATAAATTTTTTACCATTTGGTCTCGTGAACTCCGCACGTAATTTGTACTCATGTCCATAAACCGTTTCACGTACTCGCCTGTCATTTTCTAAGAATTTTAGTATAACGTGAGCATTGTCATCTCTGCAAGTAATTAAAAAAGATGAAATTATGGATTCATATTTATGAGATATTATTAGAAAGATTACGATGCTAAAATATTTTTTGTTCATTTTACACGTACACAATGTAAAAGTTATGTTTAGTAGGTCAATTTTTTAATTTCTTCACTGATCTCGTGAAATTACTTTTCTAAATTGATAAGAAATATTTTTAGTCTTGCCTTAAATTATTTAGCAGTTTATTTTTTCGACTTGATGCCATTAGTGAGAAATGAGAGTAGCTATATTCTATACGAAGAAATAAGTCCAACTTCTCATAAAATAACTAAAATTTATGAAAAATAAAACTAAGTATAAGGTGGGTTCCAAAGTATATATAACTTTTTAATAATAGGTATTTAATGTGTTGTTATCTATTGGCACTTACATACCTACGTCGAAAAGGTAGATGATATAGTAACGTAGAATGTTGTTTCATATGTCGAGAAAACATTTTTTTACCTAGTAATGCCTATCTAGACTGTCAAATTAGGAAGTCAGCGTTGTCAACTTTCAATGTAACCAAATGTAAATAATATTTGAATGACTAGAGGTTAAGTTACTGTATCTCAGCATGTCAGACATCATTCAGTGTTTTGAATGGTATCATCCTATATTTATATAACCTTTCTGAAAGTTATTATTTTTCATCGGCATTTTTTCTAAAAACGTCAAGTTCTATAACACCAAATGAGATGAACTTGGATTGACTGTTAAATTGCGATTTGCGATAACCTAGATTTAAATAAAGTCATATTGTATATATATGACTTATGATAAATTTTGGTCACCCAAATATTATGTTTTATTTCAAAAAACAATAAAAATATTCATAAAGTTATTCTAATTGACCAAAATAAAAAATGTATTATAAAAGTTTGCTGATATCAAAGAGAATGCTTTTTGTCAAATGACATAAACTATTACCAAAGTGGGCACTGGTTTCCTCATGTTATTGCATCGTAAATTATTCTAGTAAGCAAGTATAAAAACGACTAAACTTGTGCTATGAGATAGCATGGGAACAGTAAGTGAATGTAAGATAGGAGTAATAAAAGATATAAGTAGGTACGTTGTTTCTAACCTCAACCTAGATTAAGGATTCTTGCCAACTCAATCAATTGGGTTTAAAATTATGAGAGCATAAGTTTGAATCAAACAAAATTGTGACACATACGTATTTATGCGTGACAAGTAACTCTTTAGTAAGTGGACTCAATTGGGTCAACATAATTATTGCTGCATGGGAGATAGGTCTTTGAATTTACAGATTTTAGTTATCGACATATGCAACTTGAAAAGAGTATTTTGCTGAAGATGGCTCCATTTGTATATCTATTTAAAAAAACATAGTGCTTTTTTCTTACATTTTGTTTTTTAACATTCTTCTTCTGTTACACATTGAATCGCATTTTATTAATGCTATTAAGTTTCCAAATTTGACACGATTGCAAAAGTAAGCTTAACCAGTGGGCCCGCGATCTTTACTGACATAAGGGTTACTACACCGTTTTAAGTCCCTGATATATGTATACATAAAAATATAATATATAAAATTTACACGTTTTAGAGATTTGAGTGGCGTACAGGGCATAACAGATTTTCTTGACTCCATTTATTACGCCACTGGTTCTTAAAGACACATTGTTAAGCTTATGGGCTTTTAATTTTGTTAACTAAATAGTCAAGGTTTTTGAGCTAAGCTCCTTTATAGTTCACTTATATTAGTTCACAGTGTCTAATTTCAACTGTCTAATTCAGGACAATTCAGTTGAAAATAGGATGCTCCATTGTCTCTTTGTAGAAGTATCTTTTTAGTTTTAAATTTTTGCTATCCCCATTTTAAATAAATACAAATTTCTTTATATAAAATGCTTGATTGAAAAGATATTTGAACTATTTTTAATAAATGAAATAAATCTCAAAAAAAATAAAAATAAAAAATAAAATTTATTTGTGTTAATGACATTTGCTTGAATTGAAGCCAAGCGTTGGTTTATGTACTAAACGTCAACTTTTGGAAGTGATGTGGGCATCAAGTATAGCAGACAGAGAAATATGCGAGTATCTGAATGAGCTAAGTCAACTTGTATTCATAAATTTAAAATGAAAATATGTATATAGAATATACATAAGCATACATCAAAATATACATTCATACATATTTACAATTATTTATATCTATATGTTTATGTAAGTATTAAAATTGAATAAATGTAGGAGTTGTATTAAAGTGTATTGTTGTGCAAAAGATTTTAAGATATTTTTGTAAGAAAACGTATATTGCAAGATTTTTTATTTTCTTTTTTAAAGGAAATTCAAGGGCAGATTAAAGTTAAATTAAATTTTATTCTTAATTCTCACTTTTTGTAAAAAAAATGAACATAAAAATCAAAATACTTTGAAATGAGCTATATAAAGTAATTGCAATAGCCGGAAAAGATATAACAAATGTAATTATTGTATCGATTGTTCGATTGTATTTATTTGAGATGAATGTAAAAGTTTGTTGCTTAAGTCTTTTGTTTGATTACAAAATTGTTTCCAATACGGAAAAGCCATACTCTTATGTTATTGTTTAATATTTATAATTGTTTGCTTGGTAATATGATTTAATAGATTTTATGCTCTGTTAAATTGCAAAAATGTACAAATTAAGCATAAACTTGTATACAGCAATTAAATATATAAAACTACAATACATATGAATATGTATAAATATATACCATATAGTATATTAGAATTGTGTATAATGTGTGGACATGGACATTGTCTATATCAACCATGACGAAGAAGAGTAATATTTTTGCACAAATATTGCGTGTTCCGATTGTATTTACAAACAGTAAACAAAATTATTTCTGTTTATTTAGAGATACTTACGTTTTATACTTGTGAGTGTGCGAGTTAATAATTATCTAATATTTGCGGAAAAGTCCAAATGAAAACTTAATTACATTCTATTGCATTGATAATTAAAAATTGCATGTTCTTAAATGATTTAATTTGTAGAACAGAAACTATTTTAGAAAGAGAAGGGTCAGTAAATTTATCGTAAAACAATTAATTAAGATTTCTTCTATTTCTCATATTTGAGATTTAATTAGTACACATAACACTTAAACGAGGTAGCAGTAGCATATATACACAGTAGTATAATAAATAAATCTACGTTTTTAATTACTTGTAGTATAGTGTCTTTGGGGCGTGGAGCTGTCATCCTAAATCATGTTCTTATGATTTAGGTTGAGAATTTCAACAGAATTTATACATAAGTATCAATATTTCAACTACAAATTAAATGATTTACTTATTAATTAAGAAAAGTACACTTGCTTGAAGTCAAAAGTTTTCGAGTTGTGT